CTGGCAGCTGGTGTGAGCTGCCAAGAGCCGCCATGAGCGGCCGTCCAAAGGCCAGCAACCGATCTGCCTCACCCGGGGAAGAGCGCAATGATAATACCAATATGAGCCAGTGAAGCGACGTCCTCCACAACTAGACTGAAGAACAAAAGGACAGCAACTTGTCTGTTCCCCTTCCCTCAATTCCCCAGCGTGTTCCCATTCCCCAATTCCCCAATAAAAATCTTTAAAAAATAATAATAAAATGCATCATCTAGGCAAATTTTAACACATCAGTAGTACTAGAAGCCCATGGTTCTAGTCCTGGCACTGTTTCCAATTCACTGTTTAATTTACCTCTGTATCTTGGTTTCTGACACTATTGTACTTAAAAATCCCTACTTCACAGAAATCACATTACATTAAATAAAAAACTAAACAAGAAAATAAAGATGCTAAGTTGTTTTTATTGACATTTCAATGCTAATAAAAATGGTGAAAAGATTCTGACTTGTTCAAGTTTACAGTATGTACATGTTTTCTGAGTTAATTATTTTACAAATGCACCATAAATTCACAATAACTACAATGTACTGCTTTTTAATTCTCTTGTGTAGGATACCTTGTTTCTACAGAGAAAGGCCAGCAGAGTGCACCACTGTTCCTGTTTACCTCCTCCTCCAATAACAGGGGCTCTTTCATAACCAAGGACATTAACAAATCTTGCTGCTTGCCTTGGAGTATCCAGAAGCCGCCCAGCTCGAAGTGGTTTAACATAGGAGCAGACTGGTCTATTTATCCCATTTTCATCCTAGAGGAAGAGGGGAAAAACAATATTTGTAATGACAGATTAATCATTTCCAATTTTAACACCTTTTCTTAGAATACTTCAATGTGAGATAAAATAATTCTGGATATCACTTACTAAGCATTTACCTTATATCTAGCAGTAGGCTGCTGAGTGCTATACATAGTTTCTCTTTTATTGTAATCTTCAAAATATTTCCATTACTTTCATTTCATAGGTAAAGTAACTGAAGCTACAGCCATTATGCAACAGGGCCAGGATTCAAAACTTGAGCTAATTCCAAAGCCTTGGAGAGTAAGAACTTGAACTAGCAATCCTACTCCTGGATATATACTCAAAGTAATTGAAATCAGTATCTCAAAAGAGATATTTGCACACCCAGGTTCACTGCAGCAATAGCCAAGATATGGAAACAACCAAAATGTCCTTCAATGGAAAAATGGATAAAGAAAATGTGGTATACATATACAATGGAATATTATTCATCCATAACAATGCAAGAGATCCTGCCATTTGCAACAACATGTATGAACCTGAGGGCATTATGTTAAGTGAAATAAACTGGACAGAGACACAAATACTGCATGGTATCAATTATACGTGGAATCTTTATTTTTTTAAAAAGTTGATTTCATAGAAACAGAGAATAGAATGGTAGTTGCCAGGAGCTGAGGTAATAGGGGGAACAGAGTGATATACTCGTAGGTCAAAAAAATACAAATTTTCAGGCACAGCCAGTTAGCTCAGTTGTTTAATTAAAGCACAGTGCTCACAACACCAAGGTTGCCAATTCGATCTCCAAATGGGCCACTGAGCTGCACCCTCCACAACTAAATAGACTGAAACTACTACTTGACTTGGAGTTGATGAGTCCTGGAAAAACACAGTTCCCCAATTAAAAAAAAAAAGATACAAATTTTCAGTTATAAGAAGAATTAAGTTCTGAGGATCTGACGTACAGCATGGTGACTATCGTTACAATACAGTATTGTAAACTTGAAAGTTGCAGGGAATAAATCTTAAGCATTTTCACCACACAAAAAGAGTTGACATGTGAGATGATGATGGATAAAGATGTTCATTATCTTGATCTTGGTAATCATTCCACAATATATATGTATATCAAATCATCACACTGTACACTTAAAATATATACAATATATTTGTCATTTACTCAATAAAGTTTAAAAAAAAAAAGAACTCCTCTAAGAAAAGGATAGGTAGGTGGGTGGGAGATAGAAAGGGGATCTAAGTCAAAGTATTCTTTCATATTATCATACAGAATTTAGTAATATATATTCAGACAGAACAAATAACCTTTCTGATTAGCTAATAAAACAATGATCAGAGCTCATTTTTAATCTGTTTTCATTACACTTGGAGATCCACAGGAAACAATTATTTGTTAGCTAAGTCAATTAAAAGCAGACTTTTGAAAAGTATTTTAGGAAAACATCTGACATTTTGTTTTGTTTTGTTTTACAGCCTCTAAGTCATTATTTATTGATTTATAGAGCACCCATCACATGATAGAGGTGCTTTACAATAAACATCACAACAGAACTCACAGTTAAATACAATCAACAAACTACAGAACTAAAAAAATAAAACAAAACTGGAATGAAGCAACATTATGTCAAACATTTGACATTTTAAGTACAGGATGTATCCTAGCACTTGAACTGAATAACTACAGTGCATACAAGAGCCTCTGATGACTGTCCACCGCTGTGCTTTTAGAGTTAATATTACCAAAGCCCTTATTTCCCTTAACTTCAGGGTTATTAAGATGACAAAGTCAAAGGGCCACTTTCTATTCAAAGTTAAGAGAGGATTTTTAACACACTCTATTATGGCAAGGTTCCTCAGAAATAAGACCTAACTCAGCCAACAGAAACACCACCTGTGTGAAATATCAGACCCACTGGTGTCTTACACCACCACAAAAACATCACTTCTCCAGTACAATCCCATATAACTTAGCAAGAAAAATAACTCAGCTATTATTTATATTTGATTATACTGAGAAAGATCAGGAATTTTTATATGCTGAGTAAAATAACTATTATGATTTCCACTCATACCTATGGTTCTCAACTCTAAAAGGCACTGATTTCTTTCCCTGTCCTCTCCCACCCCACTCACTCGAACATCTTCATGCTGATCTCTTACCCTATGCTATTCTAGAAATCAGAAACAGAGACAAAATGAAGGGATCAGCTAGAACTCAAATAGAATGAAGAACTAAGGACAGGTAAGGAAACTAAGGAACAAAGAAAGGAGAAGGAAGGAGAATTAGGCATAGAGTGCTTTAGGCACTGGTTTTTGTTTTTTTAAACATTGAAGGGGATTGATTGGATTGTAGAACTAGTAAGTCCAGAAGCAAATTAGGCTCCATTCAGGGCTCTGGATCCTTTTCTCGGTGAATCTCCAGACAGGCACTTATTTTGAAAACAGAAAATCATGATGCTTTTGAAGGGAATTAGAAAACTATTATTTGGATTTCTTTTACATTAACTCAGCATTACTAATAATCTAGTATACTCTAAGAATATTAGGTCCTGAAATCACAATCTGAAAAGGGCAGCCTCAATCCTCAAGTGATTTATAACATTTTCTTAAAGCTTAATGATCTTAAAGGTCAATTTCTATAACTTATTTTTAAATTTCTTGCACAGAAAGCGTAAAAGCTATCATTACGTGAATTACTGCTGTACTATAGCAAAACCAGCTAGCGAGGGAGAAAAAAACAATAGATTAAGACTAACGATGCTGGGGAGTCTACAGATGTTTGGTTAGGATAAAGGGATTCAGTTCCTGTGTGAGCCAGTTTATCCTATTCTGGTTTATTTCTTTTAAAAGATTTTATTGGGGAATTGGGGGAGGAAACAGCATTGGGAAATCGGGGAAAGGGAACAGACAAGTTGCTGTCCTTTTGTTCTTCAGTCTAGTTGTGGAGGACGTCGCTTCACTGGCCCATGTTGGTGTTATCATTGCNAAAAAAAAAAAACTTTATACAGTCATTAAAAGATGGAGATTATAAAAATTGTAGCAACGCATGGGAAAATGTTCAAAGCATAATGCTTAATTATGAGAGGACACAAAATTTTATTTATACCTTAATTATAATTATGGAAAAAATGATACATAACAGGAGAAAACATAAAAAGACATAATAAATTGATAACAGAATTATGGGTGAAATTTCAACTTCACTGTTGTAATGCTGCTATTTGTACAAGAAAAATATTTTAAATAATTTTCAAGTTTCTAATTTAAGATGTGCTTTCTCTGTAATCAAACTTAGGTAAAATAAAATAGTGAATCAAAGGAGTGATTATTTGCTTTACAAAAGAATTATTTACATAATAATTTTAAATATGCACTATTCCTACTATGTTAGAAATAAAGTTTAAATCCTCCTGAGAATATCATGCTAAGTGAAATAAATCATATGGAAAAGGATAAAAACCATGATTCATTCATACACAGGATATAAAACAAAAAGCAACAACAAATAAAACAAACTTATAGATGTACACAACAGAGTGGTGGTTACCAGAGGGGTAGAGAAGTGGGGGAGGACGAGGAGGGTAAAGAGGGTCAAATACATAGTGACAGAAGGACACGAGACTTTGGGTGGTGAACGTACAATGGAGTTATATTATAAATTTGTACATCTAAAATGTATGTAATGTTAACCATTGTTACCCTCAATAAATTTAATTTTTAAAAAAGTTTAAATATATACACACAATTTTTGGGAACTATAGCTTGGGATTAAGTCAAAATAATTTTGATAAGAAAGGTTTTACTATTTTCAATTATCTTTAAGATAAAATCTTTCTAATTCACAAATCAACCTCTAATCTCTAATCTAGTTTCTTCCACTGTATGAGCTTTGCCTTGTGAATACCCAGATTATTTACACAACTTCAGACTAAACAAAATTATGTCCAAACGATAATACATTAAATAAATTTCTTGTTTTCTGCTCTGTTTCAACAGAACTGGAATGCTAAACATGGTCTGACTTGTTTTTGTCTATCAACGTTTTTAGAACACAGAAGATTAGAAAATACCCCATAATCTATAAAATTAGTTTAATGAAATCAATTCAAGTTTAACATCAATAAATTTATACAAATTTTATATACTTATATTTCATGAATCAAAACACCAATGAATCCAAGATTTTTTTCCATATTTTTTGTACTACCATTTTCTTTAAAAAAAAAAAAAAAAAATGGGCCAGCTGAGTGGCACGTTAGTTAAGAGCTGGCTTGGGACGCCAGAGGGCCCCAGTTCAGATCCCACATATGAGGGCCAGTGACGCTGCCCTCTACAGCTAA